TTTTTTTGTTAGCAAAAATAAATTAGTCTTGACAAAACATGTACTCAAAATCTGACCAATGTGTCTTGCATCACATCTTCATCCAACATGCATATCTTTTGGGAGCTCCGCTATTAGGTTTTACCTAATTTTTATATTATATATAATAAACTCAATTATTTTCTTTGCAGTGATTTAAGTTAACGTTTTATTTTATAGGTATAAATATTGTCAGTTCGTTGGTCGCGTCCTGTTATTTTTATTTGTCAACACAGCATCTGTTTATGTAAAATATTCTATGTATGTATTTCATGTATTTCATGGTGTATAATGTTTTTTGACAAATAATTAAACTAAACTTAAACTAAACTAGTTAGTTTTTTTAGGCCTTGCAGCGCAGTATTTACATACATATATCTTTTATTATATAATAAATGGCGTGATTTGATTGGTTGATCTCGATTTTTTTACGGTCTAGATTCTCTAAAGGGTAGACTCGACTCTTTTTTTCTGATTTTTTGCAAATTTTGCTCAACTTACCGTAAAAACATAACAACAAGTTGACTAGACTATATCACTAGATATACATAAGATCCCTGAAAAAAGTTTCTTACCTGCAAGTCGTATCCAGAGGGTCCAAATACAAAGTTGCCTAAGCTAAAAGCTGTAAAAAACGACTTATGCACATAATGACCTTGTAAGACATGAGGATGGCTTCCAATAACTAAATGGACACCCAAATCTCTCAGGAAAAGTAGATGTCGTAACTGGATTTCGTTAGGGTACGACTGGCCTTCTTTACCCCAATGCATCGCAACAACCAAAACATCTGCTTTTTCCTTAAAAGGATAAAAAATAAATTGATGAGCCCAATTAGGCATATAGTGTTTTCTCAGATGATTACAGCACTACTCAGGTAAACGTGCGAAATCACTAAATATTTGAACTTCAAAGTTTTATATATTTTGTAAGTGTCCAAAATGATGTAAATTTGATGTAAATTTACATCAAATTTAAGCATCAAATTTACATCATTTTGGACACTTACATAATATTTACATCAAATTTACAACCTTTTAAAGTGAACGATTTTTTCCAGTGTAATGTTGATCCCGCAAACGAAAGAATATCAATATCAATAACGTCCAGGACCAAAAACATGCATTGACATTATTGCATAAGGAATTAGAAAAAAATCGAGGAATAACAAACCATAACACTTGTCTATTTCAAAACCTGTTTCAAAAGAAATCTTTTCGCCATATCATCATTTTGATTAATGACCACATTACCACGAGTGAACTCCAGGTTTTGCATGTAGATCAATTGTCCCTAAACCTGATAGGAATTGTTTTCAAGCATGGAAAATATGAATATTGGCATGAAAACACGGTGATTTATTTACCATTAAAATTTAATTTACAGGGAGTTGATTTAAACAGATTAGTTTTTCTTTAAAAACAGTCAGTGAGGACAGATTAGGCGATTGACGTCCACCAAAAGCTCATTTTGCTATTGAAATGTTTTTGTGCGATTTCGCGCGTGTAGCTAAATAGTACTGTAGCTAACAATGAAATCTCTAAACCCAACGCTAATTTAGCTCGGTATTTTGTATCATGAAATGATCGTAGATTTTTGTACCTTAAGATTCTTGACATCTTTAGTCACTGTTTCATCACTATAAACGGCAGGGCCTGCTGTCAGGTTACCTCGCCGGGAAACACATGTATAAAAGAACCGTCCCAGTTGATTCTCATCAACAAAAAATACGTCACAATAACCAAGGAAACCAATCGTTATGCCTTTGACATTTACAATTAGAGGTTCCTATTCAAAAAAAATATAAGATTGACGGTTTTCAAAGCAAAACTGCGATATTAGTCACTGCTAATACTTTTATCTATTGTATAACAAACCTGCGGCCTTTTTTCTTCTAACTTTCCAAAAGTATAGCCGAAAGCTTTGATCCCAACTTCCTTCAAAACTCTAATTGTATAATTAACTGGCTTGTCTTTAAAATCATTTAAGTGATTATTATTTAGTCCCATGATATCAAATCCTGCATATCTGAAAGAAAGAAATAGACACATAGTGTTTGTGTCTAATACGTCGAAACGAGGCTCAGGAGACTAATGCTAAAACTTCGTAAATGGTTGCACTCCAATACAATTCGAAATAACTTAGTGGTTGCCCACTCTTTCTCCAATAGGTTTTTGTTATTATTCGAATACATGGGTAACTTTTCGTGTTATATTTGAGCTTCCTTCCTTATAAAAAGCAATAGCTAAATATAGTACGAAAATATTGAAAAACATAACATAAAATTTCATTGAATGCATTGGGTGGTCACTTAAATACGATTCTTATTGTTATACTTATTGTTTGATACTAAATTTTCCAGTTATAAATATAATATCAATGATACTGTTATCAACTTCATTTTAAAAATAACATCGATTCCCAATATATAGAGGATATTGCATGGGCGCGAGGATTTTCGAAAATTCGTATCTCCAAGCGACCATGTAATATTTGTTTATTTTATAATTACATATGAAAGCAAATTAAAAAGTAAAATACCTGTTTTCTTACTTCCACTATATAGAGAAACCTCGAATGTGATAACATATTATTTTCACTAGTGAAAATATCAATTTTACGAAAAGGAGAAATATATAGGTATTTCATAGATAATTATATGATAAAAACATATATTTACAAGGTAACATTAGTTGTTGTTTTTTTAAAGAAAAGTGAAAAACGTCCAAGTTAAGTTAGGAAGGAGAAGGGGGGGGGGGGGTATATTTAACTTATTTAAAGCTTATCGCAAAAATAGGCTCAACAAACCAGTTAACAGTTATGATGATTTTATAACATGATAATTTCGTGTCGTATGCAATTAGACGTACTCTGAGTCTCGAATTGTTTAAAATCTTCCAAATTCCCTCCAGCTCGCTCAGAAACGCCCTAAATTTTGAGTAGCATTTTCGTAGATTTGCAAAAAATGCATTAATCAAAATTACAGCGATTACTCCAGTACAATGGTCGTATCGATCGCAAGGACTTATGGATAGAAACTTCTTTATGGTTATTGTGCATATGATTATCTAATAAATGTGTTTTTTTGTTATTTGTGTTAAATCCAGTAGAACAAGGGGACGATTATGACGATTGTGATGTTGATGTGGATACAAGTCATTAGATGCAAGACTTACCTCAAGCTCTGCGAACTATTAGAGTATGCTCTTAACCTTGGATGAAATGTTATTTGTTCCTCATTTTCCATGTCTTCCCGAATAAATGGAGCTTCAAGATTGCCAATGGCCAAATCTGACTGACAAAGATACCTGGCGACTTTTTCAAATGTCTTGTTGTAAGAGCAATATCCATGTTTGTCTTGATACAGAACAGGTCCATCAAAGCTGATATCGCCGACAAAATCAAGGATGACAGTGTTGGTTTCTGTTTGAAAGGCAAGCAAAACGTGTCGAAGATTTTTGACTGTCAAAATTTGTCTGGTGCTCGTACTTCTTGGATAAGAAAGCAAACTCACAAAAATATAAAAATATTGGTATAATTAATTCAGTGTCTAAGAATATGCTATGGTGATTCTAAATCGATTGAAAATTTGTATCTATACCTTGTGCTGAGGCGTACATCAATTGTTGTACTAGAGATACTAGAATAGTCAACAAGAAACACAAATGTTCCAACATGATCTCAATCACTTATGCTATAAAAAAACGATTTAATGTTACAATATATACTATAAAAAAATTCAAATAACGTCACTGGTACCAGTGCGCAAAGTCTTATCGCACTATCTAGCAGTGATTTGAAAAGTGGGAATAACCAGAAGCCAAGGCGGAAGGTCAAGCGTAACTTGGTAAACAGCTTTCCCACGCCAAGTAACCGGAATTTTTTTTCTGCTTTTATATCTTCCTGTTTCACTAAATAATAGCTGCACTTGACCAAATCTCAAATAAAATCTCATATCTCTTATAATATTCGCGAAAAGATTGGCTATCGATCGGAGACAATCGAAAGGGAGAGTATTAAAATTGCACTGTACACGGGTGCCCAAAATCGTTTTTTTTTTCCTTTGCTTGTTTGTTTTTGATTTATTGACACTACTTTCACTACGTTGCTCATATAGTAAAGTATGTTTTATATCAAAAATGGTTGTTCCTGAAAAAAGGTGTAAAGTTTGTTCGCCTTTTTCCCGTGCTTGAATTAGTATCAACAAGGACCAATCAGGTGCCGTGTTAGATGCGCGCATGCTGAGATTAGTTGTCAAAAAATATATTATGTGGACATCTGATGTTGCTGAGATGGATACTTCTAGTTATGTACTTCCGTTGAATTTAATACGCAGTTATTTCTACAAATCATACAATATCAGCCACTCTGATATATTTAATAATAATAGTGATGATTTTTCGTAAAACACCGACGAATAGTGCTCAATACACATTTGTGTAGAGCGGTATAGACTTAGTAAAGTATCCTGAAAACTTTACTAAATCTTGATATATTTATGTATGTTAGGGGCCAAAATGTCTTGAAATCATGACAAGTAAATAGATTATGTATTTATTATATCATAACAACAGAAATATCATATTAAGTGTCAAACTGCTTTTAGATTAATGATGATTATTGCTCATCAGTTTTACCAAGAATACACTTTTACAGAACTTACACTTCACTCGAGCGAAGGGAGTGAAATTTGTGACAATTTTGAAATATCACAAGTGGTATTTATCTCAAATTCTACCTTCAAAACATGCTATTATTATTGTTGTTAAAAATGGTTGAATAAAAATTGTGCAATTTGAAATGCCACTATTTTAACGGATAAATACCACTCCTCTATGCCAATCAAATTTCACAATTTTATTCAACCATGTTATAAACTACGAAAGGCCCATCATGTCAATGGTATACGTAAATGACCCCATGTATATATGCCATTGCCCAATATATAAACACATTGTCAACGTTTCATTAACATCTAAGTTTTTCTAGAATGCATCACAGCATCAGGTAATCAAATAATATGAAAGCTCATCAATAATGAGATATAAATTGTAAAGTTTTTGGAATTGTTGGGACAAGAGATTTCCTTAAGGCCAACAATGCAATGATTCTTTTGAAAACGCACAACAAATCTGATAATTCTTTTGTTTCCCCGAGGAGCCTCGTCTTCAATTTATTTTTGTGCATGACCTTTCAACTAGAATATCGAAAAAGTGTTATTTAATACTAGATGCTTGAATACAACTAAAAATGTTCTTATTTGCCAACTATAAAATGTTTCTGTCGGAGGATTTTTTTTTACCGTCGACTAACTTTATTTAATCTGTGTGAGAAATCTCTCTATACTTTTACTTATTTTTCATAATAGTCGTAATATATCTATATTTTTGTTGTACAGAACATTTTAAGACCAGTCATGTTGATATCAGACAATAAAGATTTTTGTCAAGCTGTGTACGTTTGTAGTCCTACTACTTTTCTAATGAGTTTTGTAAAGAAAACAATGAGAATGAAGTTGATATTGCTATGCTGAAACGTTTTAAATTTAAAGAAATCTAATATTTTTTAATCAGATAACACCGCAAGCTATATTTCATAAAAAAATCATGTCGAAACAGCAAGTAAATAAGAAGAAAAGGACGCTTATATATTCTCCAAGTTCTCTATTAAACCGTAAATGTCGCCTGATTCTGCTCAATGCTGTACTTAATTTTTGGAAAAAGAACTACTTAAAAGAAATAACATAAAACTAACTAAGAAATAGCATTCTTGATTAAAATTAAGCTGTGGATATCGCCACATAGTGATTATATTTATAATCTAATGCATTTTATAGCTGACGTTTTACTAAAAATAAAATAAAAGCGATGAATTGTACATAAAAAGGGAAAAAAGCAGCAGCGACGTTCCTTGAGGTACATGAACGTTCCTCAATGAGTACACAAATGATAGAAGACACAAAGTAAAGAAAACAAAGAAAACAAAGGATATAAATTCGAAATATAACAAAAATGTGTTTGAAAATATTTCTCAGTGTCGGCATATCAACGTAGTAATAAACGTCTTGCTACACCCTGTACTGTAAAAAGCTGATGAGGTAAAAGTACGTATTCTGACAGTTTTTTTTCGCAAATTATATTGCATAWTAAAAAGCTTGATTGATGACATTTTATTCAAAGGTACTATTGCTTTACAATGAACGTGTGAAAAATAACGAGTCAGAATAGATTAACTCCAATGGTATTGAAAACCGACAAGGATTGTAAGGGCTGTCCTGCAGTAACACCTGCGCATTGTAAATTCGCCACGGTGGTAGAACATCTTAAATTCCGCTACTTTGATTTAATTATCTCGTCGAAAAACCGCAAACCTTATTCAAGAAAACAATTGACTCACATATTTCCATATAACATTCACTTTGTGGCATACAGCTATACAAAACTATCCTATGCGAGCTAATATCGTTAGAGTTGCTTATTTAGCCCTAGTTGCTTAATCGTAGTTTTTTTTTCTAAATATTCCACAGATATTCTAGATTGTAGTTTTGCGCACTAATGTGGTTTTCTTCTTATTAATATTTCATTCATATGCGTCTTATTTTGGCTCTACRATATTCATTACAAATCATATTCTGGGTCTCTAATTAATAAGAACCGAATGAGAGCTATCGATACAAGGGATCACAGATCATGATATGCAAGCAATACAAAGGCCTTCCAGACGAAAAGGTCTCATATCAGAACACCAAACAAATGTCTAATTCTGCGTAATGTCGCTTCATCAAGTAAAAGGGTTATTCTTCATTGTAAGTATCATTCCTCTCTGAAAAGTATTTTTTGTCTCAGGAATAAACCTGAGATTTTCTTATGCGATATATTTTCATTATGCATCTTTTTAATGGACTTTCTTTTCAGATTATTTTGAAATTGACGATTGAGTTGGCAACATGTCAAGGTATACTGATCATATAAATTGACGCTGTTCTGTTTGCATTAGTCATTCAATTAATCTTATTATAAAATATACGTATGAATGTCTCAATTCATGTATTCTAACGCTCGTTTTGCTGATTTGTTTAAGCCAGCTGTGCATTCAGATAATTTCTTGCATTTCAACTATAACTTAACCATGATTTCTTTTTTTTCGGGTTTTTTTTTTGTATTTTTTCAAACGTATTTTTGGATGGGATGCGAATCTGAAAATGAATCTGTTAAGTAGAGGTATAGAAGAATTAGACGTTCGAAATGCATGTTTTAAAGAGAAAGCAGTCACTCACTACCGATGCTTGCAATTCCTGTTCTAGCGTAATTGATCAAAGGAAATAATATACAACTTTGCAGGTATCAATCTAGCTAAAAATCAACCATGTATTGTGAATCAATTTCCTCTTGTTCAAATCGGCTCTGATATGCAATGGGTGCGCAGTAGTTAGCGATAAGTGCTATTTTGTCAAACCGTACCTGTGCGCAGAAAGCCAATTCTGCCATTTTATATACCTTTCCACAAGATTGCAAAGCTGGTTACGAAAAAAAACCAAATCGTTTTTATGTGGTAATGTTGTGTTTCAATGTTCACGAGATATTATTCTAAATATGTTTTTCATAAACTAGTCAACCTTAATTAAGTTTTGATTTGTACAACGAAAGATTAATTGCTTATGATATAAAAAAACCCTAATTGTTACCGGTCTTAACATTCAGCGACTGTATTTTTTTTCACATCGCAGTTTAGAGAGATCAGGCTTCCAGGTTCGAGCCTCGACTCGAGCATGTTTTTTTTTAAAGTATCTTTTTTTTCTCTATTTCTTTCTTTTAAACTGAAATATAGTTGTTCTAGTCATGTATAGTTGTTCTAGTCATTGAACTTAATGTACTGCCAAGCGGTGTTGAACCTAGTTCATGACCTGTCTAAAGGAATGTGCCCAACAAGTAACTGAGATGTTTTCCACTGTGAGAGAGACTCACTCTTACCAAACACGCTTGGCAACTGCCAATAATTTTTTTACAAAGCACTCCAGGCTAAACTCTCAACTTTATCTCTTTCTCTAGAGCCGGTGTAAGACTTTGGAACTCAATTCCCAGTTCTATCAGGGAGTATCCAAAGCCTCTGTTCAAAAAAATATTCGGTCAAATCTATTTTACATGTTTCAGAATGAGGAGAGGTAGTAGAGCTATTTTGGAATTGCATGACAGGGCTATCAGCTTTCCCTGACGGTACTAAGTAGCTAAATCACATATTCTTCTTGTCAGAATATTTTTTTGTCTCTCGTTCTTTTTAACTTTCCTTTCTTTTTTTCCGTTTTCTCACAACCTTTTCTCACATAAGCCTGCATGCTTTTAACTTAAAAGTTTCTTTTTTTCTTCATTGTCTTTTTATTATCTTAGATTTTGTCATCAGAAGTAGTATCGATAGCGGGTATCGTCCTGAATAGTCTTAACTAATTGTGATGCCCGCGTTAACTACTCATGTGTAAATTATTTTTTTATTGAATTAAACTTGAAACTTGTTATTTTTTTCCTGTAGATATTTGTTTTATTATTATTTACGAGCGGTTTTTTTAATTTTACACACAAGATCATACTGAAATAGCGGCTTCGAACTGCGGGTTCAATCTTCAATTTAACGAGAACCACTTCGTATGACACACCATAACCAGGTTATGTTAATTGTATAGAATTTTGCCGTGGAATATATTTATCAGCACCGTGATCGATTTGATAGATTGCGCGTATAATCTTTTCTCCCTATGCAGAATGTGCAGACCAGCCTCCGCCGTTTGGAATGGAAAGTGGTGCGATACAAAACAGCCAAATTACAAGCTCTTCGTTTGCTTCCGGATATCCTCCGTATTCTGCAAGGCTGAATAACTATTATGGTGCCTGGTGTTCTAGTTCGCTATCCACTGGAGAATGGCTTCAAATCGACTTAGGAAATGACAAAGAGCTTTTAGCAATAGCAACGGAAGGATTCTTTTCATCATACGTAACAAGCTATTATCTTATGTACAGTTTCGATAAAACAAAATGGTATTGCTTTGGATATGAAGGAGTCGCAAAGGTAAGCAATAAGCTTTTCTATAAGCATATATGACTAAAGAAACTTTATGACTTTATGATCAACCAACTTTATAGGGTCATTAGGGCATAAAGGAAAATGAATTCGAACATTCCAACTGAGATGACACCATCAAGCTTTTGGACTAACTAGGGCTCAGTTAAAAAAAAACTGTAACAATTTTTATTTAAGAAATATAAAACGGCGCGCGTGTCTCTGTCCTCTGATACAAACACGGTGGGAGTTCGAAAAACACGAGAGAAGCAAGCTTAGGAACACGAGCGTAGCGAGTGTTTCTCTTGCTTCTCGAGTGTTTATATCAGAGGACAGAGACACAAGCGGCCGTTTAATATTTCTTTTATAAAATTCTTCGAGCGAAAAGAAAATTTTGCCGGTAAGCCGTGTACTCTGTCCTCTGATATAAACACGGTCGTCAGCCAATCAGAGCGCGCGTTATATATCAAAACTTTTATAATGTCACTTTTTTAACTGCGCCTAATGCCTTTTGCACTTATTTTAGTCAGAAAACGTCATAATATCTCGGAACATACCTACCGGGATGATTTCCTAACAGAATATGTGTATTACATTCACAGAAACTGAGTGGTTCTACTGTTTCAACTACACATGTATTGCATAACAAACCTGTTGTTCGCTATGTTCGTATTAACCCCATAACATGGGTAGGGAAGATCTGCTTGAAAACAGAACTCTATGGATGCCCAAGTCCAGGTATCGTATTTTGCATTGCATTAGCAGTCATTTAGCCTTCAACTGGGGAGGGGGTAAGGAGAACGGACGGAACCCCTACTCTATACTACAGCTGCAAAAGAAGGATTATATGTGTTGGTAAGCCAAAGAAAATCGAATGCAAGAAAATGGAGCCTTCATTGAAATATAAGTAAAACTGCAAAGTTTTACATATGAAACTTGCCCTTAACATTTCTTTGTATCTCGTTTCGAGGTCGAGTGTCACGCAACTGCGCCTATACAAAATGCGTCTGATTTTTGCACATTTTCTTACTTTTCACACAGTTTCTTTTTTCTGGCGCAAATAATACCTCCGATTCTTAAAAGATACGCATTTAAGCAATACATAACCATGAAAATAAATTCAATTTTCCAAAAATTGATGAGTTTGGGTTTTTGGGGTTGAAATTAACAATTTTGCCTGTTTTTACAAAGGATTCATCTAGTGATGATGTACGCTTTACAGTGTTTGACCTCTAGCTACGTCAATGGCGCGTGTATCCAATCAATACCTCTGAATTTGAACTCTCCAATAAATTTGGAGTATATATAAATATTGTGTACTTGTCGTATTTTTTGTGTCTTGACTCTCAGTACGGTCACAATGAGAGCGCAAAACGAGAATGAAAATGTAAAGCAGAGCACATTTAAGAGTAATTCTCCTTACCCGCTTACTGATAAATTCGAAATTGAACATATTTGAYTTTTTTAAATTTTTTTATTGTTTAAGCTACCTAATATATAACATGTCGAGGACTGTGGACAAACGGACACTTCCTTCGATAACAAACGCAAAATCATCATTTGTACTGAATATGCGCTCATCCCATTTGTCTCCTAGTGCATGCTAAGTCCTAAGATACTAAGTCCTTATTTTAAAGACACGATAAACGGACTTCCCGCGTTCTTGATTTGAGTTCTCGATCAACTACAGCGAGTCCGTCATCAAATACGAGTACTGGCCGTGTCATCTTTTCATCCAGAATTCAACCTTCACTTACGCGCACGATAATATTCTCCATAACTTAAATCTTTTCTGTCTATAACAGAAGCAGTTGATGGTATCTTATAAGGTTCTAAACGCTGAAAAACGTTACTCATATCCCCTTCATTACAAGACCTCCACTCATCRTACGAATTTAATACTGCAGCCCACAAACTGGATTTTAACCTTTTTTATATATAGTTGTCGATCTTGTCGTTTYTTTCTATCATTTTTCGGCTTAATAACTTCAGAATATTCATTAAYGAAGAGTTTCGGTGGCTTTCTTTCGCGTACTGATTTCAGCGACTTCAYGTTGACTATCGCATCACGAACGCGTTACTTCCCGCGAAATCTGATACTACAGCGCAAGCGCACTAGTGAAAAAGTGGCCGAGCGTACCTGGACACTAGTGAGAGCTAAATTTTCCCGATGTATGGCAATAAGTTTGATATGCCACATAGTAAAGCTAATATTTTAAAAATATGCTCATTTAAAAAAGACGGCCAACGCGTCATTTATCATTTGTGCAGTATCCTTTATTATTTTGATATTTCCCTTATAATGAATAGAAACTCAAGTCCAGGTWAAATCGATTGCAGGTTAAAATGCGTGTTAATTTGGCTACCCCAATCTTCTTTGCAAATAAACCATTCATAATCACTGCAATGCAAATAGCATATAAACTTCCACTTTATCTATAGCTTGAAAAYTCCAAAAGAAGGTCATTATGGAAATGACTTTTTAAATCTGTTGTTTTCTGTCGGACTACCTCATGTTGATGGAATATTGACTGTGGCTCTATTCTTCAGGTAGACCAGTTCAATCGAGTATGCCAGAAACGTGTAACGTTTTAAATGAAAACCCTACAACATTTCCTCCAACTACGCTYGCACCAGTTGTTGGTGAAACGACTACACTTGCCGAAGGGGTAACTGCTGGATCAACCAAGTCAACAACTCCTGTAACTACACCAGAGCCAACAACAGAGTTGACGACTACAATAGCCCCAATCACATGTAAGTTAGCAAGCAAGCATTTGATTCTTCGTGTTTTAACGCATTTTTCTGTTTCCAATGATAAAAATCATATAATGCAGGCGCGCGAAAAATTCGGTTTTTGAAAAATAAARATTTGTTCGGAARACTGTCTGCGCGCACGCTATAATTTTGAAATCGGTCGTGCAACCCGGGAATTGTTCGTTGAAACGATCGTGGCCTATGATGAAACAACATGCATTGGATCTYTTTATATGGTATTTTAATTTTCAGGGGAACCAATCGATTCCATAAAGATTCGAGTAACCTCAACATCAGGGGTTCAAGTCTCAACAGTCTACGTAGGACAAACTGTACTTATTGGCATATTCTATCATAAAGGCAGTGATGTCATGTATAACTGGAATTTTGGAGATGGTTCAACAAAACAAACTGACGCCGGAACGTTTAAATACGAATACAAAGCCGCAGGAATATATACTTTGAGTGTTCTTGGCTATAACGAAGTTAGCAATGCTACCAATCATTTTCTGATAACTGTCCAAGATCAAATCACTGGATTGAAGTTTATTGGAAAGAGCAACGCAATGGTACCCAATACAAGCTTTACCTTTCAATGGAACATTGATAAAGGTTTGAGTTCAATTAAGCACATATTTTAAAACTACATTTTAAGTATAGTTTAAAACACGAGAGAGAGGCGAGAATCTTTATACCTGATAAAACACGATCTCGAGTGTTTTTAACGGCTTCAAAAACWCCARCAACGATTTGAAACTCAAATCCGTTACCGTTYCTGGAGAAATTGCCGTAAAAATAGAKTTTGAGATAAATGTGGCAAACTKATCGTGCGCGAATCACTTTACAAAGCACTCTTGTCGTCCCACATTGAATACAAATAAAGTAAAATGGGCTGTTTCTGCAATCGGTTTACATCCTCTGCATTGGTCAATGATCAGGTTTCAAACCTGAGACCTTTGCTAGGGTCATGGACCTTTATATCTGAAAAAGGTCACCYTTATTAGTATTCTTTATATAAAGAATACTRATAAGGAGTGTTTTAYCAGATATAAAGGTCCATRCATGTGACCAAATAGACTCTTTCTATTGGCCTAATGACTCATTAATTATGTATGAGTTTTTGAAGCACTTAGAAATCACTAGTAAAAATTTAACACAAGTGGTCGACAAACAATAATCAAGAACTTAGCCTCTAATTTATCTTGTAGTTTGTTTAAGAAATTAGTAACGGCAATTTGCTTTTGATAAATATATAACTTTAGTATATACATGATTCACAACCTCATTAGAACGCGCGCTCCCAATTGGCTGGCTATCTCTGAATATGAGTCCATATTCACTGATCAATCTCAGAATAATGATTTTCCGCAAAATGGCATCTCGTTTTGCAGCAATTACTGATGATTTATGTCCAATTATAGACATACAAGCACTAATCATTCTATTAACAATACTTCATAAAAATTAATACCAGGTACCAATGTTACATACACGATCAAGTATGGAGATGAAACGCCAGATACGAAAATTTCGTCTGTAGAAGTGGGACCAGGACCATACAGTTTGGTACATAAATATGTTAATACAGGGCACTACAGGATTCAAATAACAGCAGTAAATCTAATCAGTACAGCAGTGCCAATACATAATAAAGTTATCATAGAAGATAAACTTAAGGGTTTAAAAGTAAAATGGGAACTACCTCGAAGAGTGAAATATAATACAAAGCGTTTGTTTATCGCAGTTGGCGAAGAAATAACTGTTAAAATGTCACTGGAATTTGGTACTGATCCACTTTATAAGGTGGACTTCGGAGAGAGAAAGATAGATCTTGGCTCTAGAAGTTATGTTAACTTCCAGTATTCGTTAAATGGCACTTATAGTATAACCGCATATACGTATAATCACGTCAGTGCTCTCTCTCAATCATATCCCATTGTAATCAACGTTCAGAATGACGAAATGATATCTGGCCTAAAACTTTCTTCATCTCCAACTCAATTTGGGTTCTCAACATCAATTGTCCTATCCGTGAAAAGCGGTACAGCTTTTGTATGTTACTGGTCTTTTGGAGATGGACTAACTGCTCTGAGAGATGTCACCAACTTTAACGACGCAATGTATCATACTTATGATTCGGCAGGTTTCTATGAGTTAAATGTTTGTTGCGAAAATAAACATGGTAACTATTGTGTTCAAGATACAGCTGCAGTGCTTATCCCAATAATATCACCGAGCATTTCCGCCATACTAAAACCAATGAAAAGCAACTCAACTCAATYATTTGAAATAACTTTGATGAACGGATCAGATGTAACCTTTGATGTTATGTTTGGTGATGGAAAGTCCATTCGCTTGCATTTACCCAACACCACTGCCCGAGATCAAGATCTTCACATTAATCACACGTATGAAAAACCCGGTGTTTACTATATGATGGTTCATGTGTACAACAAGCTAGGAGGAATAAGAACAAAGTTAACTGATCCTATTATAGTCCAGAACCCTTTGAGAGCAAATACGCTCTCTTTGCAAAACAAAAACCCAGTAAAAATCCCCGACGGAAGAGTCATTTTTACCCTAGAGCTGCTAGAGGAGGTTTATCATCCAACGAATGTATCTTGCTTTTGGAATTTCGGTGATAATAGAACCACAGAGATTCATTCTAGTGTTACGGAGAAGATTGCTCACACATTTGCTGAGAAAGGGCGATATATTGTCCATGTGATTTGTAAAAATAGGGTTAGCAGCAAGAGTATCAGCACTAATGTTATAATATACCGTATGATAACACCTCAAATAGCAATTGATTCTCAAACCAAGATTATTGATGGCTCTCCACAAATGATGTTCTTATTATCTGGAGAAAATGTTACATTTTGTGTCACCACCCAACCTTACGACAGGTTCTATATCTGGTCAGGAGTTGACAGAACTGTTAGTATTGAAACAAGGCTGGCATGCATTAAACGTATAATTAACGAGGCAAGACTCTATAACATAAAAGTTGTTGTAAACAATTCCCTTGAAATCATGACAAGAATGGAGTCATTTCGAGTCCAAAAAGCGACTCATGGATTAAAAATTAGTTCAAATGGGTCAACTATCGTGAGAGAGCTTGCCAAATTAACTTGGACGGCGGAGATCTTTGGAACAGATGCCTGCTTCTTCATAAATTTCAATGACTCCAGTGATGATATGATATACGGGCCACCATCTTGCTCCGCCAAAAGTATACAACTACCACTGCAAGGCGCAAATAGAGAAATACTCATTCGACACAAATATATGCAAGATGGACAATATAACGTTACTATCAAAGCGAAAAATATCGTCTCCTCGTTAACTGCACAAACATACGTTACCATTATTAAGCCTGTTTGCAAAATATTGAGTATCAAAATATCATGGAATGGAAAAACGAATGACGAGTTTACATATTTGCGTTCAGAGTCATTTGAGCTGTATGTTGAATACAAGAAACAGTGTTACTTCGGAGAGGGTGTCGATATTTCATGGAAGCTATTCAAAAACTCTAGCGGTGTAGAAACTGCTGTCAACTTGAACTCCCTTCAAACAAGAAGGAAGAAGTATTTATCTTTCGGTTCCTTGGATCTCGCTTACGGCTATTACAGAGTAGTAGTAACAATCAAACTTACAGGAAGTGCTTTGCAGGAGATATATGGAGACGTTATCAACTTTAAATCGTCTTTTATCCATATCAACCCATCACCACTTCAAGCTAAGATTAAAGGTGGTTCATTTGTTATGGTTGATCCCGATTCTTCGTTTACTCTGGATGGCGGARGCTCTATCGACCCAGATGAATATATCCCGTACTTAAATCTAAAGTATAGATGGTTTTGTAAAAGAAAGCTGAAGCACAGTGATACGTTTGTTGGCTGCTATTCTTCAAACAAAAATTATTTAGAACCTATTGGATTTGACAGACTCTTATTCACAGTATCCAAAGAGTTGATCAGAAATACRTCGTACCTCTTTACCCTTGAAGTTTATAAAGGATCAAGGACAGCTAGGGCCCATCAAACAGTGTTTGTGACTTTTGGATTGCCTCCAGCGATGAAAATAATGTAAGTCTGTATATAGCACATTTTAGATTTGAATCCAGAAAACAGGGGAATGAAGGATGAAGGTTGGAATGTAGGATGATTAAGGTTATCCATCGGATAAATTGTTATCTAATGGATAAAATCCATATAAAATCTATTGARTTGATTATTTATACGCTTCTTATACAGCCTATCTCCGCAGCCAATGCTCAAAGCTTACAAAATATACAACATTCTTACTATATTCACTCTTCATATCTCGAATAATCGGATCGGTCGGATTACACTGTAAAACTGCCTGGTTAAAACTACCAAAAGTCTACTTTAGGTTCTGTGAATGTAATATCTTGTGTGTGTCCCCAAAGTGCATGCACCACTGCTAATTAAACAACTGAATAATAATACAGTACTTATCCGCTTATAAGAACCTGTAATCTAAGAACCAGTTAGCCTAAAAATATTAATTTACACCCCATTT